CCCCCCCCCCTCTGTCTCTCCACTCCCTCTTTCTCTCTCTCCGTCTCTCCCCTACCTATCTCTTCCTCTCTCTCTCTCTCTCTCTCTCTCTCGTTAAGCCGACTTCTTTCCCCTCACCCTTTACCTCACGCTCCGTGTGTAATGTAAAAAGCGCATTTCATATTGGTCTATGTAAGAAAACATTATCATCCCGATTTTATCATTGTTATGATCATAATTTTGGAATTTAAAGTTGGTTGTTATAATACTAATGTTAAATGTTAAATATAGTTATAATCCAGTCAGAGAAATAAATATACACATTTTCAATAACCTCGTTAAAATTTGATTTTTTAAATTTGGTTAATAAATGTACAAAATTATTGAAAAAGTTCACATCTCTTATACAAAGTTCCTTATTTTTTTTTTTCTTTTACAGCGACAGTGCCGCGATTTTGCTGTGAGATGACGGCGGAAGGGAAGGAAAAGTTCCAACTGGGGAAGATGACGTCAATAGATGACAACGACTACGTGGACCTATACGGTTGCGCCACGTCACCAAATGACGTCAACTCTAATATTCAGACGGTATGAATAGTTATTCGTGTGTTATGTGTATTTTGTCACTGTGAACAAGGATTTTACTTGACTCTTACGTTTGTCCAACAAATAAATGCTCGTCCTTTAAGTATCTTTTTTCTAGGCATTTAAATTTCTCGCGCTGTTATTTGTAGACAGAGTATAGATAAATGAATACACGAATAAAGAAAATCTGGGATGAAAATTTGAAGTGAATATGTTTTAACAAAAATGAAAAAGCAAGTAATGGTTACATGTATATTGGATCTTGTATTACTATATATTCGGAAGCCATCATATTTTCTCCTTATCAGGGGTGTTACAATGCAGTGAAGCAAGTGATAGAAAACCACCTCGGGTTAGTGATAGGGATCGGGGTAGGAATCGCCCTGTTGGAGGTGAGTGATAAAAAACAACGCATTGGGTTAGTGATATTGGTCGGGATATGATTGGTCTGATTAAAAAATAAGGGACAGTATATGTCTCTGTGTGCTCTAGTGTGGTGTGCTGACGTCATTAAGTCTGTTTTCGGACTTAATTGGCATTTACTTTAGCATTGCTGTGGTGACGTCATTTGATGTTTCGGATCGAAGTGAGTACTTATGTGAGCAATACTAAATACTCTAGTGCGAAGTGAACAGCAACATATTCTAGTCGGGAGTGGATTCAAAGATATTTTCTGACAGTCTTCCAGGTTATGTTTGTTGATCCATCCTCTATTTTTGACCGTCTTCCGACAGAATAATTAGATACCCGTCAATGTAAACTTGAAAATCTGACAGTCTTCCGGGAGACCCAGAAGATGGCCTCAATCCACCCCTTGCTATTGTTAGACTTCAAAATCTTATGTTCTTCCACTTCGAAAAATAAAAGGAATAATATTGAGATTTTTTATATTTGAAACATTGGCAATTTTTTCTTCTCTTTGCTAATGATCAAACCAATCATTTTTCCATTTTGAGTTAGAGTTTACCATATTTGTAGGCCTACCCCAAGGTAACTTCTTTCACCTGAAAATGCTCCTCTGTTATATTTTCAGCTGTTGATCATAATATTTTCCTGCTGGTTGTCTTGCTGTTACAACAAAGAGGACGAAGACGATTACAGATACGAAAAACCCATGTCTACCATGGAGGAGGAGACGGCGAATATTTAACATAGAACATGGAGTCAAGTCACGTGATCACAAGTCACGCGATCAATGTCAATTCAAAGTGATCCCAAAGGCTGGTGATGATACGAGAATTGACCTCCTGGTTTTCCAGAAACGAGAAAGGTTTTTGAATGGATATTCGATACCTGTATACTACCACGAGGCCATCTTGGAATGGGGGATTATAAATGCCTAAGGAGAGGCGGCTTTTAAATCAGCTTTTCACAGTGAAAAGTTTATACTGGTACTTCAATGTCTTCAGAGGAGTCGTTAAGGGCTCAATGATTGAAAGGAGCTTTGCGTAAGGTAGTGACGTCACGATTAAAATAGGAGTGTAAAATCACTATGTACATAAAACCACATAAGAAGACATATCACAAATTGACGAAAGGAAAAGCTACATATCACGTCGTTTTATTCTGAACATATATCGCAATAGAAGGCGTTCGTTAGCAAGACAGTTGAATGCAAGAAGCGACCCACTGGTATTTGTATTATAACTATGATAAATAAGTGAACGATGATACGACATATTTTTTACAAGGATGAAGCCTTTCGGTCATTTCCTGGTCGTCTTTTGACTGAGTTGTGAGATCGTTACCCTTGCCAATTCGAACAGATAAAGTCACATTCGGGGTCCCAAACCAGAGGGGTGATAATTACAGATGTTACATGATGGAGTCACGTGATCTATGACGCGGGTGCAGGTTTCTTCAGATTAACAGCAATGGATTACACGAACCCAGTAGCGGGAACATTGTACTGACATACATGTACAGTTAGGATTATAGCTGTTGGAGCATTACAAAACAAACACAACAAGACATTTCAAAATATGTCTGTATTAAATACCGTACATACTGTAGTTTATTTATTTTCAAGTAAAATGTCACATATGTAATATTGAGGATCCCCTCTTATGTATAGTTTCACAGGCAGGTTCTTGCATAGCATATACACAGACGACAGTATGTATTGTATAGTAATGCACGAGTGAGCGTGGCGGTCTTCGTGTGTGCGTTTTTTTTAATATACATACAGTAGTAGCATTCAAACTGTGATGCTCTAGAAAAACACTTGCTAAAACAAGGAGTTGAAGTGGCATGTATGTGTTTTTATCATTATTTTACTCATGAAAAGAAAATGAACCCGCGAGATGCGTTATTTATTTTCGAAAATAGCTGTTAATTTAATTGTGTTTGGATGTCTGCGTCACAGTATACTAATGAGAAATAAATCACAAAAAATTTCTTCGTCATATCAGGTCATATTTGCTTTCACAAATAATGTCATGTAAAATAATAATAATAATAGTAACACATTATTTCGCAGTATATCAGGGTTTTATTATTTATAATAATTTCTCAGAATGTGTCCATGTTGACAAACGTCCCATCTTCTCACTACGTACACGTGAGCAGCAGACGACACCTACATCTGCGCGCTATCTTTCAGAGTTTTCCCATTCGCGCCAATTTGGCCATGAGCTGCTCCAGGCAGTGTTCAATGGCGCCGCTGCGGGAACTTTTCGTGGCGGATTCGCTAATCTGGGTGCAATCAGTGCACTGAGCTCTCCACTTCCACTTCCAGCCGCTCACTCTACCATGGACGCTGTAGTTGACTCTGCACCCAGGTTTCCGCTCAATCTAAAGACAATGGGATATTTTTTTTCAGTCGAAATGAAAATAATTTTCCTTCAAGGTTTCAGTAACCATTTTCCGTGCATATAAACTAACGGCATGTGCTGTGTTTACTGCAATTTAAATAGAAATTATCGGTATAAAAAATTTACGCATGCTGCTCCACTTTCTTTTGGACGCAAGCGAATACCAAACATTTATGAGTGTAATGAGTGTAATCTGTGAGATCATATATCTATCAAACCGGTACGTTCCATTATTCTGTTTGAAAAGCTCAATAACCCAGAAATTATCAAGTTGGAATACCATGCTAATCATATATAGATGTATTATACTTTACTAACTATAACGTCTCCTATACCAGAAGGGAACAGCTCAACACTTGGAACTTGCATTTTTAATTATTATTCTAGCAAAAAGCACAATTAAATACATGTAAATTAGTATTATTACTATTATTATTGTTTTGCTTCCAAATTTGTGAGAATCAACTGAACAGATCAGATGCAGTACACTTTGCTTCGATTCTGAATCCAAGCTACATGTACATGTATGCGATTGGCACACATGCGCTAGGCTAGTCAGAAATGAGAAAATGTGAGTAGCGTAGACGATTACGTAGGTAAATGCTACATCCGCAAACTTGTAACCCAATTCCGTGTGGCATTGGTACATTTGTAGTTCACTTAAAGATAGTAAAATCATTTTAGTTAAGCAGCCTGCAAGTTTGCGAAAGGAATCACTTTTGCCTGCCATGCCCAGGTGTAAACGCACGCTATTTTTCGCCATAGCTGTTTTTGTACAACAGAGACAAAGATAAATATACTAATAACTAATTGATGTGGAAAACGCCGCGTCAGAAACTATTTAATGACTTTTTTTACTCTCTCTTTCTCTCTCTCTCTCACTCTCTTTTGTTCCTCTCTCTCTCTCCCTCTCTCTTTTGTTTCCCTCTCTCTCTCTCTCTCTCTCTCTCTCCACCAAACCCCTATATTGTACGTTTCAGGAATGTTTATTCTATACTACTCAAGTTCAAATCATGCAGTGACTTACCGATCCACTCAAGGCATCACAGGCACACACTAGAGCTGGAAGAAGAAAAAGACTCAAATTCACTCAGTGTTGAACAATTGAAAACTAAAATCACTCACATGCAGAAACATAAATTAATCACGCAGTTAAAAACTAAATGAATAAAAGTCAAAACTTACCCAGCAACAAAAGAACTGCAATGCAAGCACTTGTCAGTCTACCTCTCATGTCTGTTATGGCTGTTGTGTTCATTTGTGTTCGGAATTGAGAGCAGTCGTTGTTTTTATACAGCACGACGGTCGTTCCCATCTGACATGCGAGGTCATCAGGTCAACTTATGGGTGTACAGCAACCAGGGCAGTCATTATCAACTACAACGTTTTTTGCTGTTTTGGTTGGTATACAAGTCAAGCTCCTTAATTGCACATGCTGTGTTAGTGATTTTGGCTTTGATGTTATCATTTCAATTTATTAGTACATATCAAGTACGGCTGTTTTCAATTTATGAATCAGCGAGAACCCGGATTCTAGGAAGATTATTGTGGTGTTCCCTTTTTTATGAACCCGGATTTCAGGTTGGAGAGCGCACTGAGAGAGCAAAAACATGAAGAGTTGTTTAGGACTGTTATATGTAGCCTACTGGATAAAAATATGGCTCACATGTTTAAAATAAACTTTCTATAGTAGACCATATAGTAGACCATAAAGCTTGCGAATGGTATTTTTACTACTGGAAATTTTTCAACGTATAGAAATAAGTATTGTCGTCGGAGAAGTTATAGACATTTTCGATATAAACTTTTTTTCTCATTGAAGCGGTCACACAAATAAAAATAAATTTCTGTAAATTACAAGTTGGCGTGCATTTTATAAGAACATGTATCAGCGTTCTAGAGCAGGCCAGGGCTTAGTAAAAAAGTTGCAAAATTTTGAAGGAAATTGGAAATGAATTTGAAAATCCTCCTCAGCAAAAGCAGTCGGACAAGTCGCCCCAGGGGATAGTGCCTTCCTATACAAATTGGTTACTGAGTGTACTATTTACAAAAGCAGAGGGCGCAGTGAAAGGATCTGGTGCCCTTAATCCCGAGGTCCTAGGATTGTAACCTAGCTAGCTTCTGGACAAGTTAACTTTTCCTGTTTTCTAAGACATATGGTTAACCCATTTCCTTTATAAGCGAAGGTGAAAAATCCTGGTTCTCGAATTTCAGGAAATGTTTTCGGACATCACCAGCTTTTAACAATCCTATTTAATGTGACGAAAGAATTATTCCACGAAAAATATACTTCAAGATTAGTGTAAAAACTGTGTATCCTGGAGGAGGCTTGTACAGAGGGGGTTTCGACCGTTTCTTTTCAATTTGCACTACATAAAACCACTAAAATATTTTAATTGTGGTTTGAATTGAAGAGAAATTATCTTGAAATATACTGTTCGTGTATATACAATTATCATACACACACCTAGAAAAAAACGTTTCAGTTCAAAAATTTAAAATACATTGTGCAGTAATGGACACCCCCTTAAATCTCCTCATATGGAAAACATTTAAGAGCAACTTCAATTCCTGTCTGTGGTACTGTGTTTGGAAGTGGAGAGCGCAGGACGCTGAATTCCCGCCTCAACTTGGTCGCTCTACAATTATCTTTTAAGATAAAACTTTCGAGACTCATTGCAACGCCATGGGTCGCGTTCCCTTGCTGCTAGCTGTGGTCGTGTTGGTGGTGGTAGCGGCTCAAAGCCCGGTACAAGGATCATGTAAGTAGAACAGTGCGTGCGTAGAGTTTTTCCAGGGTTTGTTATGGAAGGTGTAGGCCTACAGTCATGTAAGTACTTGAAGTTGCAACGGCTGGTTTTTTCGCAGCTCTAGATCTTCCATTAGCTTTCTCAATCACGCTCTCGCGCACACACATTCATAATTGAGAGAGATAGAGAGAGAGGAGAGAGAAAGAGAGAGAGGGGAGGGAGAGAGAGGAGAGAGAGAAAGAGAGAGAAGAGAGACAGCGAAAGAGAGGAGAGAGAGAGCGAGAGTGGGGTGAGAGAGAGAGCGAGAGAGAGAGAAGAGAGACAGCGAGAGAGAGGAGAGAGACAGCGAGAGAGAGGAGAGAGAGAGAGAGAGCGAGAGAGTTAGAGAGAAGAGAGAGAGAAAGAGAGAGAAAGAGAGAAAACGACAGCGAAATTTCCTTCCTTGATTTCAGCGCAGTGGCAGGTAGTAGGAAAATGACAACATTAAATACAATCTGTTCATCCATGCTTTCTTTTAGATTAAAGTTAACGCAATCCATAGCAATCCATAGCATGAATTTCATATATCAATTTTTTAAAATTATTAAAATAAGTGCAGATCAAACATCCCTCAAATATCGGTCAGGAAAGACACATCTTATTCACATTAAGTCCCGGGTTGGAAATGATAAGTAACGCCGTGGGAACGTAGCGGTCCCGGACCATAGCCCCACACTCATAGCGTCATAACATAACTCTCCGGGAGTTTTTCTAACCATCATTGTTATTCACTTGAAAACTGAAGCATTTTTTTTTTCAATTTTGTGACCGTAGTATCTTTGTAAATACTTTTTTGTAATAGCATTTATGACTGGATTTGAAAATCCCCAGCAAATATTATTTATTTATTTATTTATTTATTTATTTATTTATTTGTTTGTTCCAGCGTTCACGCTCCAGGGGTTGATAGCCTTGTTAAGGGGAGGAGTAAGGATTGCTGACCAACTCACTGGTATAAATGGACAGGTGAGTCTCTCTCTCTCTCTCTCTCTAATAATTTGGTCGATATCTCCCCGTAAGCATGCCCCTTCGGCCCTTCGTACAGTCATGTTTTTTTTATTACTGTAAATAAATTTTCCTTTTAAATCTTTATTTTTTTTTAAATATCTGTTTTATCAAACCGATGTTCATATTCTTAAAAGGGATTATCAGTGATTTACATGCACTATTTATCATTACTTATTTAATGAAGAGCAATAAAAACCCGGTGTTATCTAACGCAAGTGTAAATTTGTTCCAGGTGGATCGCGGAAATAACTGCGCCATCAACTGGAACGTGAACATCTACCCCGGCTTTAAAGTTCGCTGGATGGGTGTCTGTGTGGACACGTGCACGGGGGTGACCAGCGTCTCCAAGAAAAACTCCAGAAGTGGCGCCCTCGAGCATTGCCTGGAAGATATTTACACGAAGATGGCAAGAAGAGGCCTTCTCACCGGTTAAAGATGCATATAAAGTCAATTTTTTTGTCACAAAAACCTACCAAATGCCAGCATATAGTTTCAAGTAGTATAACTATAACTAAGAGAATTACCGAAAGGCATTGTTTAATTTTACCCGAAAATGATGTTTGAAAGGATTTTTCTGCTAGCATTTTATGCTGTATGTCAATGGAGCGGAAAAGTAGGTCACGAAAGTAGGTTAAATTTCCGACCAAAAATTAAAAAGAGGAGCAGTCTAAAGCTCTTTTATGGCTGATCGAGTGATCTATTCAGTTTATCCCTTGGCATGTCGTATAAGAAACTAGTAGAAGTGGTTTACATGTGTTACTGAGAATCCACGCCCCACCGATGCTCGGTTCGTATGTACCTTTAAAGTAGCTTAGCGCGTTCGTCATTCTTAATACTGTTCGTAACTGAACTATTCATTTTGCAAATATGGCTTCATTTATTTAAAAACTGTATTCTGTTATATGATTATTTGTCTGTTCTGCAAATACGTGCTTTACAAATTTTCAAAATAAATAAATAAATAAAATTATTGATATTTTTGACAAAACATTTAGTTGTACATCGTAAAGTGCAGAAACCGGGCAGAGAAGGCCTTGGAATAGGATTGTCCACCCCACACCCACCGGCTGCCATCTTTTTTTTTTTTTTTTTTTAAACAATGTTTATTCATAGGAAATGGAGGCAAAGCGCTAAAAGCATTAGATGCTCTCTATGTAGAACAAAATTAACGTACACAACTAAATGCAAACATTAAAGATCAGATTTCAGTATTGGAACACAAAAGTTACCAGAAATAATTAAATACAGAAAGAAAATGCCGTGCTAGTGTGGATTTTTTTCTGATCACACAAATTAACTGTAAATGTTTGCATCATCTGATAAATGCAGGGTGTTCTTAAATATTACCCTAAAAACGCCGAGCGGCCAGGCAATAATGTTCGCTCAATCGATTGCCATCTATTAAAGCGTATGAAAAAGAAAAATTTACCACGTCACTAAGATTGGGTTCCCATACCTAGATCGATCTAACAGGATCGGTCCATCTCCTAGGGATATCTCGCTAAATTGCTTTCAGCTTTAGCGGTTTAGATGTTTGGCCAACTAAAGCTGCTAAACGATAGTTAATTACCCCCTATCAACTTCAGTAGGTGTGACAGACACCTAAGCCGCCTAAGTAAAGTGAAATTTAGCAAGAATCCCCTAGGAGATAGATCGATCCAAAGTTAGTACGATATGCTCTGGGAATGGTCCCATAGATTACCGCCCACCCCTGTTAAAACAATGAAAATAAGTGACAAAATAAAGAAAACAACTTCATTTGCGGTCAACTTAATTTCTTTACAAGAATTGCGAAAAATACAGTGGTTCGAATATGCAAAATTTGGCTCTAAAAATTGAGCCTTAAGGAATTCACAGTAGATAACTTATAGGTTGATACTAATCGTTGTGTGGTGACGTCTTGTGACTGGAAGCTACAATGGAGTAATCCATCTGAACTACTTTTGAAGCGTAGAACTCCGATACAAACATGAATCAAAAGGTTTAGGGGATAAAAATGATACTATCAAACAATTTCAATTAGAACATTTTAATTTTTGCTTATTTTTGCTTATTTCAATCCGTAACCTGAAAGAAATAAAGTGTTGTTCGTCGATTATAAGAATTGAGTAAAATTGTATATTATGAATTTACAGAGATTCAGTATCAGAAGTAACCTTGCGCCATAACGTCATGCCCTCTATATAAGGTCCAAGAGATCTGAAGATAAAAATTAAAATGAGAATTTGAGCCCTAAAAAGAGGTTGAGTTTATATATATAATGATACAAAGACTCCATTGTGCGTACCGTCCGATGACGTCAAATTAAACATGACGTCATATGGTGACGTCATATGGTGCCTTTCAGTCCACGATATTCGAGCCATAGGTCGCAATCCGGCATAAACGCGTGTCATAGTTTTTCGTTTATCTCTAGAAGCGCAATGATGCAGAAAGTTATCAAAGCGCCAACCGAAGCCCAGCAAACATTGCGGCGCTGATTGCACCACTCACGGGGACCGTGACAATCCAGGCGAAGAAAATGTTCCGGAACAGCTTCCAGTCCACGTTCTCGCGAGACCGGAAACGGCCGACGCCGACGATGGATCCGACCTTGCAGTGGGTGGTACTGATGGGGATGCCGATGTTGGAGGCGACCAACACGGTCAGCGCTGAGGCTATCTCAATGCAGAAGCCACTGAAGGTAAAATAGGTCATTATGAATGTATTACACAAAAGGGTTTTGTTTAAGAACGCCATCAATTCGTTTTAAGCTTAGTTGTTTACATCATAATTTTGGGACGTGAGACTAACGCTAGGTTAACAAAAGGCAATGACTTTACTTCGCTTGAAATAGTATGTTATCGACACGCCCTACCTTGACGGCGTGATCTTCGTTAAGTCGTCTCCGAGCGTCTTTATAACACGTCTTCCCCATACCCACAACCCCAGTGAAATCCCTAGGCCGCCATAGAACAGGATCCATATCGGTGTCGCCATCTTTTGGTGAACTTCACCCTCTATACCAATTATCCACAGGGCGACCACTGGCCCTATAGCGTTGCTGCAATAAATTAATTAATAAATAAAGACGGTAAAATAATATCAAAATGAGATTTAAGATTAAAAAGTACTATAGATCACCATCGTCCAGGCTATTTTAACATTTATTCAGTACACACTGAGGGCTATTATGTTCTTTTTTATCAAATAATTATATAATTTGATTTCAGTCAGATTGTATTTCTTTTGAACGAATGGTTTTGTTTGAAAAATATATTAGACTTGCGATTTTGTATCGAGATAATAAATCAGTTACAGCAGTAATGGACCACATAAACAAAATATTGCCCTCGTAAATGATACCGAGTACGGATGCTATATTAAAGCAAAAGTAACTCATTAAGTTCTTTAGCAGACAACTGAACATTTATCCTTAACAAATGTTAATCGAGGTTTTTGTTCTCTAACTTTTAAATAACATCAAGTCATTTTGTAAAACCAGCTCTAGCGCCCGTAGTATAGACTAATCGCTTCCCCACCTGACGTCATTTCCGCCATGCGCAAAAGACCCAAACACTGCCGTCAGAATCTGAAGTGCGTAAAACAGCTTGGCGGCTTCCGGTGAATCTTGGATGTTCTCCCGTCCTTCCTCCTTCCTGGCACTTTCCTGCGAACAGGAATCAGAATCAAACGTTTTAAAGGGTCAGAAAAGGAACGATTTTCAATACATTAGCCTTAAAGGCTTTATTTAGGCCAGTATTTTTAGCGAAAGGCAAAATATTTTTACTTTTAAGTTAAAAATAGAAATTTTGAACCAAGTTAATGTTTGGAATGGCTAATTGCAGGGTGTTACTACTATACTAGTACTAGTAGTCAGGGGCGGATTTAGGGCGTCTTCTGGGTCTTCCGGAAGACGGTCAGATTTTCAAGTTTACATTGACAGGTATCCAATTTTTTCTGTCGGAAGACGGTCAAAAATGAAGAACGGATCAACAAAGATAATTTGGAAGACTGTCAGAAAATATCTCTGAATCCGCCCCTGAGTAGTGGTGGTACGAGCAGTAATAGCAGTTAATTACAATATATATGTTGTGACGTACAGGTGATAGAAGTACCCTATCGAAAATTGACCTGTGTAGTAGTGTTATGAGTTGGGACGAAAGCTTTCCATGTATGCTTTGGGTAAAATTGTGCAGAAACGGTACAGTTTAAAATTTCATCATAATGAGTGATAGTAATACAGTATTGTGTTGTAAAGGACAGCGTAAAAATGCCAGTATTAGTCATTCTCTTTACCTTCTCCTCGTCGATACTAAGTTGTTCATACTGCAAGCTCCTTCGGTAGGATTTGTGCGAGTGGACAGACTCATTGTCAACATCTGAAAACAGAAACAATATTAATGTATCTAAATAACCACGTTGTACTATGTACACTTTGCATCAGTGCTATATGTACTAGTACATGTGCATTTCATAGTGGTCTATACCCTTTTTTGTAACTGTGTGCACAACATAGCTTTATAAGGCATAAACTTGGTTTGTGTAAAGACTGGTATATAACCGGTAGATTTGCCCGTCATCAGCTCTTCACGCACCTTTAAAAATCGTTTAAAGAGAGGCAAGATCTTTAAAAGCATACAAGTTGCTTTATTAGCGGTCGTTTTTATTGCAAAATATAAAGTTTCTTCAACACTTTTGCAATTTTAACTCTATTCGCTTCGGTAAGCTATATCCAAAAGTGATCACAGAATTCATAAACAAGTTTTTTTAATTCAAAAGTAATTATTTTTACCGTCACGAATTGAGTTACAACCACCATCTATTTCTTACCATTGTAAGAGGATTTCCAAAATTAGAAACTCTTAGCTGAAAAACGGGTCTAGGATGGTTATGTAGTATCTATTAATGATTTTAACTATAAAAATGTGGACGAGCTGAAATTTCCAGAAAAAAATATTTGCTACTATATAAATTGCTAACACTCATAGTGTCCCTTTATTAAACATGTAGTTTGTACAATAAAAGTGACTGCTGAGGGTGTTCCGGAGAAATACCTTTGTCTTTCTTGAAGTTGAGGCCCAGCAGGGGTTTCACGGAAGGCGAATGTGGCAAAGAGTCCTGTAAACAACATAATCAGATTTTATGGCAAGGACCGGTAACCATGACAATTGCAACAAAATTTATCATTTATTTCTGTTTGTCTGTTTGTTTATCTTTGTAGTACACCATCAATTTTAATTAAAATATCGATATACTGCCTGTTTATTCAGCCATATGGCAATTCATTCACTTATTTACAGTGTGTATTTATTTGACTATTTGTTTATTTATTTTTGTTCACTACTTGCCTCTCTACTAAAATCATTCCGTTCTCCCGAGTCACTGCTACTGGCGCTTCCAATTCTTTGTTTCAGTTCTACTTCCGTCGCCTGCTTCTCCTTGGTCACCGCTTCCTTATCGTCTTCACTAACCACGGTTTTTGGGTCTGCAATAGTTGGGGAATAAACATAAAACATTCAGAGTAAGTAATATACTAATGCTCACCGATTGAATGAAACACATCAACTGAATTTGCAGAGCCAAAATTTAGGAGAAAGTAAATTCTTCAATATCGCCGCGGTTGTTAAACATAAAAATGAATAAAAAAAAAATACATCCTAAAATGTTATACCGTTAGAAGAGTCGCTTTCAATCTGATTTTCTTCGTCCTCCGTTTCACCATTCCGTTCTTTCGCGCACTGTGCTGTAAGATTACAATGTTCAAATATCAAACTTCAATACAGAAGAAACAATGCATTAAATAGCTTCTTCATCCTAAATTATTCTTATTTAATATATTTAGTATCATATAAACTATGATTGTAATTATTATTTATTTGAATAAGTAATACTGATAACAATATTTATATTTATTATTTTTATTATTAGATTTCCAATTGTCCAAATCTGACCGCTCGTCGCGTCTGAAATTCAGTGTTTGACAAAGGTTCACATCACCAATCACAGCTGTTAGTCATGCCTGTTAACAACACCATGCGCCCATAAGAATAACTGGACGCAAGTTTTTGATTAGCGCGGTCAGCTACATCCAAATCCTTGCTTACTACTCTTTGACTCTCCAGTGTGTAGGGTAGGTTCTACTTGCCTATTATCCGTCTCCGTTGCCAAGGGACGAGAAACAGCCAGACCAGAAGAGCACAGACCAGCCCGCCCCCGAACGCTGCCGAGAACGTCCCCCATATCGGGATCAGGTGAAAATACAGCACTACGGGGAAAAAAGCGATACTTTGGATGTAAATATGATGATATAAATTAAAGTGATGTTTTGCAAAACATTTAATCTTAATCTGATAAGTCAAGATTCAGGCCCTTAGCTAGCAATTTCAAAAGGGGGTTCTTTTTCTGAAAAAGTGGGCCTTTTTACCGTGAAAACTTCGTGTAGCATATTAAACATATTTTATCCAGAGGGGGGCTCATTCGAACCCACCGAACCCCCTGGCCAAGGACTTGCGATTAGTGGATATAATGCTGGTTCACTTTTTATAAAATGCATTAGTTGTGTCAAAACCACCACCTGTAACTTACTCTGCGGACCCTCGTAGAACACGGAGAACAGGTTGATGGTGAGGGTGGCGCCGTAGAAAAGGGGAAGAAATCGCATCCCCCATAACAGCGGGTCCGGCTGGAAAACGACCAAAATGTATATCACAATCCTAGCCACGTGAAATATTAGTCATCAATACGACTTCAAAATATACAAGAAATACTGACATATAATGCCACATCCCTATATGAAAGATTGTAGGCCCTATGTATGAGATACATGTTAGTCGTTGAGGAATTTAAGTCAGTCTTTTACTCCTTAAAGAGCTTGTTCTGTTGACTAAAAACAGCGGTCATAGAAAAATATTACCATGCGTGGCCAAAACTTACAAATCAAGACGACCGACCCCGTGACTCGAAAGCATCGCGTATTGCGAATAGCGATATCACATAGAGGCTACAATGTATTATATGAGGCGAGTTTGGGCGAGTTATGGAATCGAGACGCTTGCGCTAGGTCGCAATGCGCGATGCTTTCGAGTTACGAAGCCCAGCTTGTCCAAGGTTTCAACTTTACCAAACGTTGACAAATGAAAGCGTTTTTCACGTTATTCTATCCAGAATTAAAGCTACGAGAGTTACAGTTAAGGTTCGGTTTTCTAATTGTGTTAAGTCCACATTTACTTTAAGAACACCTACAGGTACAATCTTATCCTCGGTTGTGGGTCGCTCACACATGTCAGTTTATCAAAAGTCGTTGTGTTCATCTGTTTGCCCCCACTATTTTTATGGAAAGCTAAAGTTTGGCAAAAGGCATGTTCTTAATTATGTCTCAGTAGGCCCCCTATACTAACCTTGGACAGTATGAAGTAATAGACAAAGAAGAACACGCCCACCGAAACAAGGCCTGACAATATGGGGGACACGAACCAAGAGGCGACTGAAGATCACAACATGTAAAATAACAAAAAACAAAATAAATTTATTTGTTTAAACTTCATATTACAAATACAAGGGAACAAAAAATGCATGCAAATGCGTGCACGTGCATCGAGACGTCAAGTTACACATGTACATGCATCTTATGAAATCATTCAATAGTTAAAAAAAACATTAATTTGCGTTAAATACTACAAATTTCACTACATTAATCTTTGCAAGGAAAATCACAAAGCAGGTGCCCATATCATCTCTGAAGATAAACACGTACTTATCATTCCAATTTTCTTCCAGTTGACTCCCGCGGCGCCGTGCGCAACAAGGGCGAACCCCATAGTAGCCCCCACAATGCTGTGCGTACCGGAAACTGGCATGCTAAAGAACGTTGCCACTAGCAACCAAATACAGGAACCTGGAACGAGAAAAATGGTTTTATGACCATGATGTGATATTGTGAAATAATTGTCATTGTCCATGGGCTGATAATAAGAAGGGAATTCAAACATCTTGCCTTCAAACGTTAATTGTTCAAAAATTATCTGCAGTTTTTCTTTGCCTTTTGTTATTTTTGAAGCAATTATAGGATCACCTCTTTCCTAATTAAGTGAAAAATTTTAATTTACCCAAACTTATCAAACTGTATGGCCGTCTTCCTCAGTGAAATATTAGTGTGAACAATGCGCCAATGACTATTTACTGGTGTGTACGGCTACTAAGTTTTTTAACTTGCTCAAATCCTGTTCTCAACTTTAAATCCCAAATTGGATCTACTTCTCTGAAAGATTTATCTGTATTAATCCGCACTGTAAACGTTTTAGTCTCAAACATTAGCCTTGCGTTTCTGGAGGTGCAAAATTTTTAATAAGACCACAGTGAACTGCAGTGTTTGTTTCGACTATTATTAGGACAATTTTTTTAAATTCTTGCTTGAATTTTCTTTTTATTTTTCTTTTAATGTAAAGCCTCACGTGACTTGGCGACCGCCTCTGTAACATTCCAGTTAACATATTACCTGTCTCTTCTCACGTAGACAGATATCTGTCATTTCGTGAAAGCCGCTTTCTGCTTGGGGTTTTGATTGAAAGGTGAGCATTTTATCACCGTGTTATTACCATTGTTTTGGCATCATAATCACGCGTGATTTCACGAGAAAATGACAAATTGCTATAATTACATGACAGCAATATCGCTTGTATGGGGGAAGTGTCGTGAAGTGTTGTCACCAGTGAAGCACGCAAAGACAAGGACTGAAATTGTCATCGTCTCCAGGAAAATTATCATAAAAAAGGAAGAGAAAAGAAAATAAGTACAAAATTGTGCTCCGTCTCTTCACATGAGGCGCATTTATCGGCTGTCACGTACACGCCACTGTATTCAGAAAACAGGTATGACGGCGGCAACTTTTTTGCGTGGGAGCCAATGATGACAACAAGAGACTCGTCGCTTTGAGACTTGTTGCCGCTGGTTTGCGCCGGAGAAATTTAAGTGGAAAGAGCAATTACTCTGTCCCCTCACTTGGTCACTGACTGATTGGACCACTGGCGGGAAGAACTTTCGACCACAGGCTCAGAAAGTGACTGACCCAGCTTATTCTGATATGTAATGGTCAGTCGTTGTCCATGGCAGTGGTCAAGCAGAAGATCTGAGCTGCACTCACACCGAGGTAACAAGGATGTTAGTCCGCCATGAAACGTAATCCGGCCCCCCCCCCCCCCCCCCCCCCAATTTGCGCAGGTGACATTCGTCCCCAAAACCAACCCAAATACCCCAACTAACCCTAACTGTAATAATCCTACGAGAGCCCAGACGTCCATTCCTAGAACTATCATTCCTGTCACACCGGGCATTTTGATGAGAACCAAGCTGTCGGCTACTTGCGTCTTCGGTCTACCCAACTGAAATTCTTTATAATGGCAATGCCACTTAACTTGATAGGTCCCTTTTAAATTAGGAGACGTACGTACTACTGCAGTAAACATTGTTTGAAATGAGAGCACGGGATGTGAAGAGAACACGGATCTTAGTACAGAACATGAAACTAATGAACATTTGAGCACGCCCAAACGAGCGCGCCCGCGCGCGTGTATGTGTGTGCGTGTGTGTGTGTGTTGGGCGAAGGGGAGGGGGATAGAGTCAATTTCATTATTTGCATGAAGCTCTGAAGACGCCTTGCAATACACGTACAGTGTTGTCCTCCAATGTGTCTGTCTAAAATTGGCCTCCTACTTGAGAGACGCAACGTTCTAGCAATCGCTCACAGATTGGCTCTGTAGTGGAAAGTACAAGGCGAGAACTTTCTCACAGCCTATCCATTATTGTCGGCAGATCGTTTGTCATGATCACCAGCTAAGGCGTCTCTGGTGGAAGACCGCCTTAAAGCGTCACCTGATGGATGACAGTTAAGGTGAGCCACGGCGTTCAGCCAAGGTTACGACATCAGACCATGGGAGGATTGTATCTGATGGAAACATGACTGACACAACAAACAAACAAACAAACACACACACACACACACAAACAAACAAACAAATAAACACACACATACTCAAATACCAACACTCATGTCACATTTTCAGTCAGCTCAATTTGTCATATTCGCAGTTATAAAATCTATCAACAATACGAACGTCTTCGTCACGCGATCTGTTACGCATATTTCGCAATCTTCTAGAATATATCTCCACGTGTCTTACGCAACATTTATGTCGTCCTGTCTGTATAATTTCCCCCATTTTTTGGTTATCTAAGCATTACTTTTACTTAATTCTTATACACTTTTCTATATCTTGCCATCAATTTCAGTCGTTGTGCGACCTTCAGTGCCATTTTTACTATGGTACTTATTAGTCTCTTCTGAGGCGATCTCGACAGTTTGACATTCAACCAAGGACCTTTTTTTTCAAAAAATAAAAATTAGCCTAAACACTTGTGTCAATTTTCAAAAATTGTCTTAAAAGACAGGAATTATAATAAATCTTGACCCAAGATAAATGAGCTTTACTATTCCAATTTAATGAAAAACTGCCACTGTTAATAACTGGACTAGCACGTCTAATACTTACCAAAGTTATTCTATTCTATTTTATTCTATTCTATTCAATCCTGGGCTACACTTAACGACGGATTTCTTCTTGCCTAACGTAGAAAAATGTTTGGGCTAAATGTAATGACCTATTACGGTGTAAAATTCTTTGATGGCTCCGGCTCTGTGTGCCTAGCACCCCCCCCCCCCCCCAG